AGAATTTGCGATGAATGATCCTGACAAGAAAGGCAATGAAAAAAAAAAAAATGAGAATCGAAAGCGCTTCTTCTCTCCGATTAGCGCAATTGATGATGCGTCTTGCGAAATTTACTTTTTGCACCTTTTCAATTTGTATAGAAGTTTGTGGTCGATGGTATATTAAAGTGTGGTATGTGTAACGCGGCAGTGCATTCAATGCGGCGAAGATGTGACTATACATAAGAAAATGACCGTAACATAGCGCATGCAATTGAAAACCCCTGTAATGGATTCGATTCTTCCCACGGAACAGTGAAAGTGAGTTCTTATATATACATATATATATGTATATAAACTGCGATGAGATTAGTTCACGTGTCTCGACCAACACCGCGCCACATCCTTCCACAAGCAATATGACCGTGTCTTCAAGGTAGCCCATTGTTTTCTGATGGAATTGAATCGTTGCAACCAAGAGAGTCCTCTCTTGATGCGATAACTATTGCCTTCGAGTCATTTATATAAAAGGTTGACTGAAATTGGGCAATTGCCAGAGCGAGAGAAAGAGAAGAGGGCGGATAAATACACTTTTCTTCACGGCACCTCCTTCCTCACATGCAACCTATAATTTTCAACTAGTTATATTGATTACGATTATAAACCTTTAACTAAAGTGAACGAAAGACTAATTTCATTTGAATCTGTCTTCATTTCTTTTTTCTACAGTTGATTTTTCTTTTTAAAATCAAAATATATTTTATATTTTTGAGTTTAGATTTTAGTTTTTTAAATTGTTGTACAATTTTCGGTTTGTATTTATATAACAGAAAATTTTGCGTAAAATTTTTTTTATATTTTACAACTCAATTAAATTTACTCCCGCAGAGAATTATTTTATTTAAAAATAAATTTAATATATTTTGTATTAAATAAATTATTTCTCTCAGAGCCAAATAACTTTTTTATTTGACGTAAATAAAAATTTTATTTGTTATAAACAAAAATTTTTATTTAAATCAAATATCATTAATTTGCAATAAAACATTTTTTTTGCAATTGTTATTTTTTACATTCATTTTGCTTTTGTTATTTTTAACAATGTATATTATCAGTATAACAATACCGGCCCATTTTTATATATTAAAATTTTTAAATTACACCCAGAGAAATATTTTATTTACATTTATTTGAACAAATAAAAATATATTTGTCTCAAAGCCTAATAATTTGTTATTTGTTTCAAAAAAAAAAAAAATAATAATAATAATTTGGCACAAATACAATTTTTATTTAAATCAAATAAAATTTATTTAAAACAAAGTAATATTTATTTGGCTCTAAAGCAAATATATCATTTCTCTGGGTTTATAGTGACAGGAGAAATATAAAATTAAATATTAATTACTTTAATAATTAAAATTATTTCTCCATTACTATTTTAATTAAAAAAATTTTTTGTACTTATGAAAATTAAAATTGTATTAAAATTTTTATACGTATGTCAAATTAAATTAAATTAAATAAAAATTATTTGAAACAAAAAGAAAAATTTGTATACATTATATATAATAAAAAAAAGTGTTATAAAAATGTTTAATTAAAACTAATGAAAAAAATGGCTATTGAATTTTAATATCATTTTTTCATCAGTAATACAATAAAACTACTGTATTGATTCTACCCTGAAGTAATTTAGAACCAATAATTAGGCAAATTAGCGAGAATAATTAAGTTAATTGAAAAAAAAAATTAATTAATTCGTATGCATGTTTTAACAGTATCTGCGATATTGTTACTGTTTTTTTTTTTGACGTTTTACACAGAGAAATTTAATTAATTAGATTCGCGCACAGTCACTTTAGATAATAAAACTCTTATTGCACTATTTCATTAACTAAAATGACCGTTTTATGGTTTGTGTGTTTCAGGTAAAGAAAAAAAAAAAGAATGTTGATGCTATTTTCTCTGATGCACTGGGTGTATACATCTATATATATATAAGGTAGGAAATAACATTTGCAAATTGAACGTTGGTGCTATCAAGTTACACGTTAAAGCGTATAACATTTAGATATCACATAATAACATGTAGCGCTATAGAAGTTTAATGATCATTCAAGTATCGCGTTTATATCTAAATGTTACTGTCAACTACGCCAAAATGTCTTTTCCTGCATTTAAAATAGAACATTAGAAATTCATCTTTCAAAATCTTTAGAAACAATTTATTTTTAAAATTAAAAATTTGTATATTAGAATATTCTAATATACAATTTATTCTCAACTTCAGTATATTCTGAAAAAAATCTTTGTTCTTTTTATTTCTTTATTTATAATAAAAATAAATAATAATATTTATTCAAAATTTATATTTTCACAGAAAATTAAAAGGCATTAAAATAAGTTATTATTTTAATCCAATTTTGTTTATTTTAATCCATTTTGGTATTAAAATAAGCAAAATTGGATTAAAATAATAACTTATTTTAATGCCTTTTAATTTTCTGTGTTATTAAAAATTAGAATATACTGAATTTAAAAATAAAGTGGAATTAAATATTCTAAAACTGATCCCAATTTCTATTTATTTAAAATTTAGATTTTTCTTTTATTCTTCTGCTGTCAGTTTTTTTTTCAAATTAAAAATCGTTTTCTATTGAAAGTTTTTCGAATTTGAAATTATGTAATGAAAAAAAAAATTACTACAGTTTATATTAACCAATATTTCTATATTAATAATTGAACATTTAAATATACGTGACGAGATACACACACACACACACACAGAAAATGACTTCCAAGAGGATTGCTCTCTTTGAGAGAAGTATTACATCTTGATTCTCTCACGGTTGATATTTGAGAGCGTTAAGAAAAACAGTATAAAGTCGTGATATATTTATTCTCCCGCCTTGTTTTTCGTCAAAAACACCCGATTACAATGATTGATGTAATTTACCTGCGCTGATCCCATGACCAATTGATCTGATAAAATTTCATCTACATTATATTTTTTTTTGTGCTATAAGGGCACCATTTATTTCTCGCATCTGTTTTAAACTTTTTAACGAGAAATTGCAAAGTAGTGTAAAATATATTTTATATAAATGTTGCAATAATATTATCTGCACTTTGAAAATCGATGTTTAACACACCAAATAACAAGCAATATAATACATATATTTTATCCATATATATATATATATTGTTATCTCACAATACAAATCTAAATTTGTAAAAGCATTAGTAAAAGTAATTTATAATAATTAGTTTACATCCATTAAATAAGTAATTTTATATTGAGAGGAAAATTTCTCATACATTATTCTCTTTGAGAATAATTCCCCTAAAAGTAGATTTTATTCTTCTTTAGTTTTTTCCTTTAGTATTGAGAGAATTTAAACAGAAGAAATTAATTTTTCATTCCTTTTTCAAAACCAATGAATTCGTTCTTTCTGCTCAAATTGAGAATAGTATTTGTATTGATACAAAAAAAGAATAGATTTTGAAACAAATTTTTTTTTTTAGAAAAATCACAATAATCCGCTAAAACAAATATCACTTTTTTTCCGCGATATATTTATTTACTTTTTGTAAAAGAAGAATGTAAAAATTTTATTGACAAAACTATTTGAAAAAAAGTTTATAGTAAACTATGAATCGAATAATATTTTATTGTTATTTGTCATATATTAATCTTGCAGTGAAATGTTAAATAAATAACATGGGAAAAAAGAGATAAATAAATTGAAGTTCGCCGAGTAAAATATTATAATAGATGTAAAATTCAGTATAAAGAACAATTGCATTGTTTGGCATTATATGTTTATGATTTGAAACAATAGTTTATTTCTTTTTAATTTTTTAGTTCTTGCCCACTCTTTAAGAATTACTAAAGAGTAGTATAAATTCTGTGAATTTGTTTACCATTTTCCTTTTTTTTTATTTTTTTTAATATAAAATTTAAATAACAATAATTATTTCTTTTTCATTTCATTATAAGGCTGTGTGTAAAGTTTAATAAAAATTATTTTTCTTTCTTTTATTTTTATTGGGCTGTAAAATTTCATATAAAATTTCAACACAATTTTTATCTTCAATTGTGCTTTTATACTTTTTATGACATATATAAATAGATACGAGTGTATTATGAATTAATTGATAAAAGAATTATTATTCTTGGGCTACTTTAACAAATTATTTTCACAAGCAAAACGATCTTTTATGATCTATTGTGCTATATATGTCTATTAATAAATTAATCATTTTTTTCTTCTATATAAAAATAATTGGAGTGAAAGTTTTATCGATATATGTATGAGAGACATATGAGGTTTTATTTAAAATTATATTTTCTTCATTTTAATCAACAATGACAATTAAATAATCGAGTAAAATGAAATTTAAATTATATTGTAAATACTTTTTTTATTTTATTAATTTTGAAATAATTAATATAACATGTCTGGCTAAAATTGAATCTGCAATAATAACGAATATTTTTAGTTTTATAATTAAATTATAAATGTGAATTTTTTTTTTTCAAATAAATTTTTATTTCTTTCCAGACGAAGTGAAATTATAAATGTTATTTTTTAAATTGAAATTAGAGTTTATTAAATATTATCAAGAAAATTGATATTTCGAGATTTGTACTATCGGTTATGTGATAAAACATTTAATTGTTATTACTGATTCCAAAGTTTTTTTAAAAAAGTCAGTTAAATATATATTTTTATCAATTAAGTATTTAAATTTTTTTTTTAAATACGAAAACTATTATTAAATTGATTTTTTTAATTTGTTATTATTGATTTTTTGTCCTTAGTTATAATATTCTTTTCTTATAAGGATTTTTTTAAATAAAATTTTGTTGGTATTAGTCTATTTTCTAGTATTGTTATTATTTAAAAACTAGGGCTACAAATTTATTTCATTTTTTTACGTGTATGAAATGAGACCAACATTTTATACAATGCGTATAAAAGTAAAAAAAAAGTAATAAAAAGTAAACAAAAAAATAATAAAACATTTGTCATTGGCTTTATTTGCACAAATTATTAATAATAACGTTAATTTTTCTAAAGAGATTTGGTTAAATGTTTTTTTTTTTAAATGATACTAGTGTAAAAAAATATGATAGAAAAATAAAGTATATATACATGGGAGGTAAACATTTATAAATGCGAAGGGTGAAAAAATATTTAAAAAAAAAAAAACTAAAAAACAAATGGAATAAGAAATTGTAAGAGTATTCGATTTTCGGCGTTTTTCGTTCTTTATAATCTACCTGAGTAGGTGAACGTTTAAGTGTTTGCACTGGCAGAAGGCACATTTTGCAAAATTAATCGATTAAATATTGTACAAAAAGGTTTATGTATAATAACTTATCATTATTTTAAATTCATTATTATAAATCAAATTGAAAATTGCGAAAATTATAATTAGCTAATTTTATTAAAAAAAAGGAATTATCAAATAATTTTTCAGTTTTTAATTTAATTGTATGTAAATAAAAAGGAAAATATTATTTTATATTAGCCAATTACAATTTCGCTAAATTCTAATGAAATCTCTTTTTTTTCTACAGTAATTATTATAAATTATTGTCGCCTTATTGTAAAGATGTGAAATTAATTTTTTTGTCACATGATTAGTTTAGTTGTAAAAAATTTAATTCTATATTGCTATTCATTTTTAATAAGAAAAGTTTTTCATTGAGAAAATTTATTCAAAAAAATTTTCAACAAGAAAATTTTCTGTTAATTTTCGATAAAAATTTGGAAATAATTTTACGACGAAAAGAGAATTTTCTCCAGAATGAAAAAAAATTTTCCAAGAAAATTATTTTTCCGGTTACATTTTTCGAAAAAAAAAAAAAAATATTGAGTATAATATCGAAGCACAATATGTTTATAAAAAGATATAGGTTTTTTTTTAAGTGCACTTTTCGAGTAAAATTTCTTATTCTTTTTTTTTGGACAAATTTTTTTTTTTCGATCATTTAGTATCCTTGGAAATTTCTACCAGGTCCTGGTGTATCGAATCGTGGTTGTCCTTCATAGGATACTTGAGCTGAAAAACCGTGTTTCCAATCGGCTGTATAGCGAACAATTTGTAGTCTTCCGTCTGGTAATTGAACTCGATATTCCCCTCGTGTAACATCACCATCACTAATAGCGTTATGCGAATAATCATTTCCAAAAGCGTCCTCCTTTACGGCATAATTGAAATCAAAAGGCATGCCTGGCTCATGGTGACCGTGATCGTGCTAAAATAAATGGTTAAATTTATTATTTATTTGTGCAAAATTGAGGAAACAAAGTAATTTTTTAATTTTATGGTTCAAATTTATTTTTAAAGTGTCAAAAATATTTTTATTTTTTGATAAATTATATTTTTAAATTAGAAAAAAATGGAATTGTTATAATAGTTGTGAATTTTTTTTAAGGCAACAATTTTCTTGGTGATGTAAAAAAGAAATATGTTTGAAGTAGATAGAGCTATTTTTTAAGGCAACATAAGTGGAACAATTATTTTTGGCTTAGACAAAATTTTTTTTTAAATAGAAAAAAAAGATTAGTGAAGCATTGTTTTATTTTTAAGTAGAGAAAGCAGTTTTCGGTCAGACAATATGTTTTTTAAAAGTAAAAAGTGGATGGTTAGATAGATTTTGTTCATCTATAAGTAGAAAAAGCATTTTTTGTCAAGACAACGTTTTTTTCAAGGAGACAAAGTAGATTGATTAGGAAGAATTTAATTTTTAAGTAGAAAAATCAGTTTTCGTTTAAACAAAATGATTTATAGGTAGATAAAATTATCAGATTGAGAAAAAATTTACTGTCTAAGTAGAAAAAAGTATTTATCGATCAGACAAAATGTTTTTTTAAGTATACGACATAAATTGGTTAGATAGACTTTTAAGTAGAATAGTATTTTAGTAGAAAAGGTAGTTTATGATCAGACAATTCGTTTGTCATCAGTTTTCGTTCAGATAAATTAATTTTTAGGTAGATTAAAGAGTTTGGTAAGGTTTTTTTTTATTTTTAAGTAGAAAAAACATTTTTCTGTCAGATGGTTTGTTATTTAAAAGTAGAAATATTTTTTTTGTTTAGCAGTTATTTATAAGTAGAAAAGGCAGTTTTTGATCAGACATAGTGTTGTTTAATTACATAAAATTTATTGTACAAGAAAACATGTAATTCTTAAGTAGAACAAATATTTTTTGATCAGACAATATGTATTATAAAAATGAAAAAAATAGATTTGTTAATCCAGCCTTTTGTTCTTTTAGTAGAAAAGGGAATTTTTTTAGACAATGTTGTTTATAAAGTAGAAAAAGAAGTTTTGTTAATCAGAATTCACTTTTTAAGTAGTAAACGCAGTTTATACTCAGGCAACATGTATTTCAAACATAGAAAAATTATTCCATTTAGACAAATGTTATTTTGAAGTAGAGAAATCAGTTTATGGTCAGCCAGTCTGGTTTTTAAATATAGGAAAAGTTGTTTGGTTAGGAAGATATTATTTTGAAGTAGAAAAATCAGTTTATGGTCAGCCAGTCTGGTTTTTAAATATAGGAAAAGTTGTTTGGTTAGGAAGATATTATTTTGAAGTAGAAAAATCAGTTTATGGTCAGACAGTGTAATTTGTTAAAAGTAGGGAAAATAGTTTGGTTAGACAGATTTTTTCAGTAGAAAAAGTAGTTTATGGTCAGACAGTGTGATTTTTAAAAATAGAAAAAAGTAGTTTGGTTAAGTAGATATTATTTTCAAGTTGAAATAGTAGATTTAAATTAGACAAACCGATTTTCTAATTTTTAACAATAGTTTTGTTAGTTTTTTTTTTATTTTGAAGTAGAAAAATCAGTTTTCGAACAGACTATATCTCTTTTTCAAAATAATAAGCAGTGGCTTTTGGGTAGAATTGCACTTTAAGTAGAAAATCCAGTTTTCGATCAGACAAAGTAGATAAAATTAATTTATCTAATATTAGGAATATTAATTTCCTCTGTTTTACAATTGACGCATAAAGCAGCATTTACTGTAATTTCATAATTATTTTCTCTCTCAGTAGGCGGAGTAAATGATTAGGTATTATTATTATTATTATCATTTATTATCTATTAGTTATACGGCTTCTATTTGTAATAAAATAATATTTCCAATAAATTATTCTATCAATGCATCGCATATATAATGATTTCATCGAAATGCAATGATACATATATAATTATATTCGCGTGTGTAATACAATATATTCACTATATCTGTTAATTTTAGTGAAATCAAACCAAAAAAAAAAGTATTCACATCTGTATCTGATTACCATTTTGTTTTAGCATATTATTGTATATTCAATTATAAACGAAACTAATATAGACAATAGATTTTGCAAAACTATGATGATAAATTTAATGTTATATTCTAGAAATGAAAAAGTTTTTTGAAATGTTCTTTTGTTTAAATTTTGTAATCTCTTTATAAATTGTACATTTTCATTTGGAAACGAGTTTTCATTTTATTTTTTATGTATAGTTTTATTATTATTTCATTCATTGGGAGGAAGAATAAAAATATTAGAATCGTTATATGCGGCTAGTGATTTAATAATTGTATAGTAGGGCATTTATAAATTTCTCAAATACCATTGAGATTAAATATTTTATAATAGAGTGAGATATTCAACTATAAAATTTCTTTTGAAATATTTATATATATATATTGAATGGAATTGATTTCATAAGCTATCATCTTAGAAAATGATAAAAAGCTATATATTATTATTGATGCGTTAGACATTAAGATAATTTATTTGATTATCCTTTCTGCATCATTGTCTTTCAATAAAGAATAGATTGACAAATAAAGTTTAATAAATCAAATAGTGACATTATGTCAAAATACTTATGTATATTGTTCATAAATGAATTTTTGCTTATTAAATAAAATCCAGAATTTTTTTTAAAGGGATTTTCTGATTTAGAATTGTCCAAAAAGTTTAGTTGTAAAATAAGTATTATACAAAAATTTAATATATATTTTTTCTGAGTGAGTCTTGCTTAAAAAATTATTATTATTTTCGAAGCTTTTTGAGCTCGAATATAAGTTTAATTATCATTTTTACATGTATATAGTGGGAACTTATAATGCATCATTTCGTGGAAGTTTTCTTGAAAAGAGTTTTTAAAAAGTTGGATAAATATTCTTTTAAAGTGCTTGGGGCGATAAGGGAATTTCTCATTTTTGAACGGCTCTTCGTCAACTGGGTAAAAAGCTTTTTTCCTTTGCTGTTGAGAAGGACATACATATTTTGAATTCATTCTCAGTTATTTCTATCGTTGTATATATGTGTGTATGCAACCAAGTTCGTAATTTTTGTTTCAAACGTCAAAAGTACGTTCGTCTCGAGATAAAAAATAAAAAAAAAGCTTGAAAGAATGAAAGAAGTAAGTCGCGAGCACACACGTGAGAACAGTTTTGAAATAGGGTCCCGTCTTGGAAAAAAGCATGTTGCCGCGAGATATGAAAGAAACATTTCTTTCCTAGTGTGGTGGCCTTTTTTTTTTTTTATTTTTTTTTTTTTTGCGAAACGCATTCGTATAGTGATATCGTTGCTCGTAAAAAGTTTGAGCCGCTGGCAAGTAAACTTCAACGCGCGCGCGCCTTTACTCACGTTGTTAGATTGCAGATTCTCTGTTTATGTTTTAACCAAGACGAGCCGTGAGTGTTCTATACTCCTACTATAGGAGCATAAATAGGTGTGTCCATTTGTAAGATATCAAATTTTTTTCTACTTTTTTTTTTCTGTTCATCGTCGTCCATTTGCGACAGTCATATTTCTCGAGATTTTTATCAGGCATACGATGTTAAGACAAGTTTCTTGAAAAAATATTCTCCTTTTTTTTTACACTTCATAAAAGATAACAGAATTTTTCCCATATAACATCTTTTTCTATTAAGATGTTGACTTTAAAAAAAAAAATTATTATTTGTTGTTAACAATTTAAAAAAAAAAATTTTTTTTTTGTCATTAGCCAAAAGTTTTGAACGTTCAAATGAACGAAATATTTTTTTGCAACTTCTTTAAGTACGAATTTTATTACAAAATATTGTTTTAAATATCTAAAAAGAAATTATTATTTTAATAATTGTTTAATTTACTGTTTTATTTTACATTGACATCATAATTTTTGATAATTTATAGATTAAAAAAAATATTTCGTTCATTTGAACGTTCAGAACTTTTGGCTCATTTTTTGTCAGGTTTACGAATCAGTAATTCGCTCTTAGAAAATTCGAGAACATAAATTTTTTATCTGAGGAATTTATACTCTTTTTTTTTTTGGGAAATATTTTTCATCTTTTGTTAACACAGAAAATTATAAGGTATTAAAATAAGCTGCAACGCTTTTCTGTGAATAATTTGTAAATAAAATAATGGAATTTTTTGAAAACTTACATCAATAGCGTTGCCATTATTTCCTGATGGCGAACCAGGATAATCGGGAAATCCTGGTGTGGGTCTTGGTCCAGGTGTGGGATAACCACCACCTCCGGTAGTGGGTCGTGGTCCAGGTGTGGGAAAACCGGGTGTGGGCCTTGGTCCTGGACCAGGATACGTTGGTCTACCACCTGGTGTTGAAGGCCTCGATGGTCCCGTGGGAAAAGTGGGGGTTGGTCTCGTTGGACCTACTGGAAATGTTGGCCTTTGCGATGGGAATCCCGTCGTTGGCCTTGGAAATGTTCCAGGCGGTTTATTGTAGTCATAACCACCTTTCGTTGGCTCTGGTGGTAGATACGTGTTTCTTCTTGTACCTGGTGGCAAATCACAGACAACAGTGGCCACTGCCAAACAGAGAACTGTTATCTATGAAAAGAAAAATTAAAGAATCTAATCAGAAAAAAAATTATTCTCATTGTCAAATTTGAGTAAAAAAAAAATATTGCAAATAATTTTTTTTTCCAATGAATTATTTTTGTAGATGAAAAGATTCGAAAGGAGTAGGAATAAAAATTATTTGCATTATTGAACGGTTTTAAAGGGAAGGACGAACAGAAGATAAAGAGAGAAAAAGAGAGAGAGAGAGAGAGAGGATTAGTAGAAACCTGTCACTAATTGCTGAATGAGTTAGATTAAGATAGAGATAGGCATTAATGCGATGTTGAGTGTTGACTTACAAAGTAACATTTCCTTACGGTATCTTGACTGTTAAAAGATGGCTTTACAAGAATCAGTAGGTATTATAAATCAACACCTATTACTCAATTCACTCGAGGATTATAACTCGAGGAAAATGATAAGTTATTTCTTTTGAAATATAAACTAACGATTAAGTTTATAAAATATATATCTAATCATTATCTTTGTGGTTTTATAAATTTCCTCTTATTTTAAAAAAGCAAATTTATTATAAATATCACATACTGATTAAGGGGAATTAAAATTATACACTGAAATATAAATTTGATTCATGTAAATGATTACTTGACTATTTAAATATTTACTTGAATCAATTTATTTTTATTTAAAGCAATAATTTCTGTATTTGAAATAAATACCATCTTAAATAATAATTATTTATTTGCAGTCAAGTATTTGAATCAAATAAATTTGATATTTATATGAGAAAATTAATCGTAAATAGAAGTCGATCAATCGGCCTTTTGTCAGAAACAAAAGATTTTAAATAATATGAGAAAAAAAGTTCAATAAGTTAATTATCTCAGAAAATAGTTTAGTTTTTTTTTCAACATTTGTTTTGAAGGGTTCAATTTCTTGCGATGAAAACTTTATGTAGCTGCAGTTATTTTATGAGAGTTCTAAAAGAAAGGAGCGGAAAATAAACCAAATAAGTTTAAGAAGAAAAAGCAAAATTACTAAACGTAATAAAAAAAAATATATATATATAGAGAGAGAGAGAAAGAAAGATAGAGGTACGGAAGTAAACGAAAATCGAAAGCAGAAAGAAATAGAAAACCATTTCAAAGGATTAGAAAACTAAAGAAAAACATTCATTCAATTACTTATTTTAGATTCTTTAATATAATAAAAGAATTTTCTCTCAATATATGCAGGAAATATATATATATATATATATATATATATATATATATATATATATATATATATATATATATATATATATATATATATATATATATATTCATGGAATTTTCGAAAAAGAAATGAAAAAATTTTTTTTTTCATCAATACAATTAGAAAATTATACGTTACACTTTTTATGATGTAATTATTACACACTTCTTTTTTTTATCAATAGATCATTACACATTGCGTTGTTTGCTTCTGTATATATAATAGACAGTCGGTGTTTTGAAAGAGTCATAAAAAAAGGTAATCAACATTACTAAGATGATTCTTAGCGCCAATCTTAACAAGAGTAAAATATGTGTGCTACTTTCTCCTATATTAGGATCTATGAAGAATTAATAATGTATTTTAAGATGATCATTTAAGAATTCTTTTTGAATACAAATCATTTTTTTTTTTTTTTTTTTAATGAACTTACTGATTGGTTCAGTTTGATAATAAATTATTTTTCTTTTTCATTATACATTCTTTTTAGAATGACACCCAGGGAAACGATTTTGGTATATTTTATTTATGGAAATTTTTTTTTCCAAGTTTGCAAGATTCAATTTTGTTTTCGATTTTTTTTTTGTTTTAGGACTCGATTTATAGGGGTGTGTTTTTTTTTGGGTCAGGAAAACTTTTAAATTATGCAAGATCTAGAGAGAGAGATAGAGTGCGAGATTGAAATAAACCTATGTTCGACCGCTAATAATAAGATTGTCCTTTTCAGAGGTTGGAATGCCAAATGCTGCACTTTTCGATTCAAAGAATTTATATATACGTGCACCTGCTCAAAAGAACGATTGTGAGGAAGTCATAGGGCAAACCATTAGTATCTCAATGTCGAGAACATTGGTATCTTATATATTAGCAATAAATGTTGCGCATAAACCGCTCCTCTTTTTCCCTTTCAGTCATAGCGCCTAGAAACTTGATTTGAAAAGTTCATGTTACACGCAGTGGGAGTAACGTTTATACTGATACATCTCTCAGCAATCTCTTTAGATTAATGATATTCAAACATCTAAGATGACAAGTTGATTCAAGACTTGAGAAATATTTAATAATAATTTTATATTTTAAAACGTTGGGTTCATTTACTATCATATTTCTTCTTTACATTTAATTTGCAATGTCATTTTTAGGGTGCTTATTGATTTATAAATTGGAATTCAAGAAAAAATTGTAAATATACACTCGAAAAAAAAATTGTTTGAAACAACCAAATAAATGTTTTGCTAATAATCAAACATTTGTCTGAATCAACCAATAATTTATTAGGCTAATTGAAATTCTTTCTTTAATAGAAAGATTTATTAAAATAAACCAAACGTTTATTTAGATCAAATAAATATATATTTAATTCAAACAAATTTTAAAAATAACCAAAAAATGATTTTTAACTTTAAAATATCTAAATACCAAAAGAAAATAATAGAATTTTATTGAAATTAAAAAACTAATTATTAATGCGGAAATTTTCTAAATGAGATAAAATTCTTATGGAATGATGCTTCTAAAGATGAAAGTTAATGTAGATTTAACACTAAGAAAAAAAGGAAAAAAAAAAAAATAATCGATTGGAACTTGCGGTTGGATAATGTAAACTCAATTAGAGATATTTAATCGTGCAAAAAAATCATTTGAAAAAGAGGCATTTTCCTTCATTGAAAAATATTGCCAGGGATGCAGAATTACGAGAGCCATAAATTAGTTCAACGTACATAAAGAAAGAGGAAAAGAACAAAAAAAAAAAAAAAAAAACATGAATTATAGACGATTTTAAATGAGCTAAAAGTGATGCTTAAAGAATTATAATAATTTTTTTTTATACTTTCCAATAATTCAAGTTAATATTGACTGTATTTAGATTCGATAAATTATAAAATCAACGAGAATAAAAATCAGAATAAAAATAAAAGTATTTATAACGTGCAACAATTCTCAAGGATTATCTGCTCGTTCACGTGAACTTTGTTTTTAATTAATAAATGTTTTTTTGTTACAATAAAATGTTAAAAATTAGTTTTTTTTAAACCAGAAAGTATTAATATACTTTTGCGGGAAAAATAAGTTAAAATTTTTCAAATTCAGAGTTTTTAATTCATATTCGTTTAATTTTTTTTTTTTTTTTTAATAAGAAAAGGATGCAGCCCTTGTGAAATAATGATCATTACTCTTTCTCTCTGTATGTTACGTAACGAATCTATTTAACCTACGTAGTTTAAAGAAACTACCGTAAAATAAATGATGAATTCTCTTTTCAAGAACTCTTCAGCGCAGTGCGCGCGTTTGCCTTATTTAAATAAATCTATTGCGCTCGATGAGCATTTATCCTCATAAATAACTAACGTAAGAGCTTTATGGGAATTTCATCGTTTCTCTCTGTTACTCTCTTGAGAAAATTTTAACTATATATATATATATATATATACATATATGCGCCAATGGTACTAGTCACTTATTCAACGAAGATGCAATAATTGAAACTGAAACTATTCGCTTTCCACGTGAAAGCATCTCTTCCGATTGAACGCGTTACATAATCCAATGAGTGTATACCCGATTGTGTTTCGAAACTATCAATGTCGTTACGCTCAACTCATCCAAAGCTTCTATTAGAGATCATTTTCAATTTTATATGCTTTCAAAATTGCTTGCAAACAAGACGAATTTCTCTCGAAAAATTTTTTACTCAATTTAAAAAAAAAGAAAAATAATTTTTTTTTCTATTGTATTTTTGTTATTGTATAAATAATTTTGCATTTTTTTTTAAACATAATTTTCTTCAATTTTATATAAATCTAAAATTTCCAAGAAATTTATTTTTCTACATTGATGTGAAATCGAAAATATATATATATATATATATATATTGAACGTGTGGAATTATTCATAATTCGCACATACGCTCGTGATGTGTTGCCGCAGTTCAAACACGTGCTTATAGCAGAAATGATGATCTATTGGCCACGATAGCAAAATGTTTGATGACGATCGTTTTCTACTTATACGCATCGTAAAATCGAACGTAAATGTCGTACAACTATGTTTCCTTATTGTGCGACATTTTTCAATGAAAAAAAAAAAAATATAAATATACTTTTTTATAACCTATATGCGTGATTGTTATACGCGAAAGAAAATTGCTTTCTTTTGTATTTTATATATATATATACAATATATAAGAATAGAAGGATATTTTCTCTCTAGAGGCAACTGATAAATTTTTTTTTTTTTTATTACTTATATTAATAAATAAAAGTAAAAAAAATAATTATTCTTTTATAAAAGAAAATTCATTTATATTGTTATAAACACTAATTATATAATATTATACTTATATGTACATAATTATGACACTATTAATCATAGTGTATTTTATAAAATATTAAATTAATTTTTTGAATCAAGATAATAAATAAATAATATTCTAAGAATTTAGTAAAAATGAATTGTTTTCTTTTTCAAAAATGGAATAAAAAATTCACTTTGAGAATTAATTTTTTGTTTAATAATTTAATTTGAGGCCATATAATAACTTCAAGACTAATATAATACAATAGTAAGAAAATTTTCTAAAGAACAAAAGTATCATTTGCCTCTTTCCCATCTCATACACAATTGTAATTAGAAAAAAAAATTGAGGATAATTATCTAAACTTTTGTATTTTTAATAATTAATTATGAAAAAAAAAATAAATGTAAATAAATAATAGCGAATAAATATGAAAATAAGTAAATAATAATTAACGAATATAAATAATAAATTTATAAACAAAAATAAAATAGCAAAATAAATAAAAATCTATTAATAAAATAAATAAAAATAAGTAATCAATAAAAGTTAATTAATTTAGTAAATTTAATTTTTGTTAAAATTTAATCGAAAACTATAATTTCTTTTGGCAATTTTTCTATTTTGAGTATATGTTGTCTAAAAATAAAAATTGTAAAATTCCATACTGTAGTGTGAACTCGGTTTTGTGAAGTAGAATAGAGAAAATTAAAATAATTATAAAACACTGCAGTTTTACCCGTTGGAACTTTTGTAAGATTACAAACCCCCGAGAAAACGAGAAACTAGAAATACGAGATACAAAACATGAAGAGGCATATAGTGGAAAGCACAACGGATAACTAGAGATACGTATATATATATATATATATATATATATATATATATATATATATATATATATATAAAACACACGAAAAATAAAACGTTAAACTTGAAATGTATTTTCTCTTTCACAGTTTCCAGTGAAATCCAATCTATTGTTTCGTAGACTTCTTTTAATTCTTGTCTGTTGCAAAGAAGCTGTTTACTAAAGAGATTGGAATTCTTTCCATTTTTGAAAAAAAAAATAATTTATTTTTGTCGGAAAATTAAATTTTCTTTTGCATTTTTCAAAAGCATCAGTTTTCAAATATTTTTCTTCTATCCCGTTACAAAAGAAGTAAATGTTTTTTCCTTAATTTATTCTCTCTAAATGTTTAATTATATAGTTTATTATTATTTATTATAATTTAATTTTTTTCTGAACTAAAATAAAAAAATTAGAATTTAGAAAAAAGTTTATTACAAAATTTTGTAAAAATTGCTTAAAAAATTAATAAAAAAAAAAACTAATTGTTCATTGATTATTATTAGTGACTAATTAACTAATTATTAGTAACTATAGTCACTAATTAATGGAAAATTTTTTAATTAATTTAAATCAAAAATACAGTTTTTGTTAAAAGAAAAATGTGAAAATATCTCAATTATTTCAGTAATATTAAATTTTTTGTCTTAATCGTTTTATCTGTATTAAACAAAAAAAAAAATGTTTAGCTTAGCTTATAAAAAGTATTAATAGTAAAATAAAAAAAAGTAGAATTATTTTTTGTGCTTTACAAACCAGATTTAACGAGAAAGCTTTTATCCACTATACGTGAATAAAACATAACTTTTTGAAAAACTTTTTTCTAAAATCTCATAAATTGTGCAATTTTTGAATTACTCTTTTGAATTAGATAAGAGGTATTTACAAATTAAGTTTATTTTAATTTAATTGTATTAATAAATGAATAATAATTAGTTAAATAAAATAATAATGATTAATAATCAAAAATAAATTATAATAATAGTACACGCAGAGAAATGATTTATTTGAACCAAATAAAATATATTTGAGTTAAATAAACGTATATTTGTCTCAGAGCCTACTAACTTATTTATTTAGCGTAAATAAAAGTTTTATTTGTCAGAAATAAATTTTTCTTTGCCTCAAATAAATTTTTTATTTCAATGAAATAAAATATATTTGCAACAAATAAATGAGTTAGTAGGCTCGGAGGCAAATATACCATTTCTCTGAGTGTTGTTAACTCTAATTAATTAATAATTAATAATTAATAATTAATAATTAATAATTAATAATTAATAATTAATAATTAATAATTAATAATTAATAATTAATAATTAATAATTAATAATTAATAATTAATAATTAATAATTAATAATTAATAATTAATAATTAATAATTAATAATTAATAATTAATAATTAATAATTAATAATTAATAATTAATAATTAATAATTAATAATTAATAATTAATAATTAATAATTAATAATTAATAATTAATAATTAATAATTAATAATTAATAATTAAATAAATAGGAATGAATATTGTCATTCTTTTTTTTTTTTTTTGAATAAGTGGTATCCATTTAGCTTGAAAGCTTTTTTTATGTAAAATCACTTTTTGGACCCCTTGTCAAATTTATATTGTATATACTTTTCTCAGTCTCTCGTAAAAGTGAAATTTTATTTAGATGGCAGCACTGTTCCTCGATCACTGTCTCTTATTTTTCGAAATAAAGACACTCACTATTTTTTTCTAAATCCGATATAGAAAAATTCTGTCCAAAAAAGACTAGGTATATTTCACAAAGGATGATGGGGGAGGGGGGGGCAAGAAACCACGAATCTTCTCTGAAGGATAAAAAATCACCTCTCCTCTCCCTCTAGGATACCATCCACGAACGTATTTCAAGTTTCCCCCTTTCACTATGTCTCGTCAAGTATTCAGAGATCGAAGAATTCCTTCGGGGATTCATATCGAGGAATTTTCCTTTTCCAATGGGAATTTGGATTATCATCCCGCAGATGGTAACTCTCTCTCTCTCTCTCTTTTGGGCAAATACAATTCGAATTGGGCAAAGAAAGGCAGCTTAAAGAACTTCATTGGAATCTTCGATTCGTTTCACTGTTGATGATAATGACGTACCTGTAGATGAAACATGTTTCCGGGCTTTTTTTTCGCTGGAGGCCCGTTACCGATATTTTATTTATAAAAAAAATAAATAAATAAAACACCAAAAATATTAAACTTGTTGCCAATCCTTTTTTCAACGATTATTTTTGACACTTCCGCCCTATTTTCGGGAATTATTATTGTTTTTTGAAAAAATTTAGGCGCGAAAACGAATGAAAATTAAATGAATATTCATGTGGTACCGGCCCGACGATGGATGAAGTCGATGGGTGACTGCTCGCCATGCCGCCGGCTTGTGTTTATATAGTGTTGGGCCTAATAAGATGATCCTTCAACTCTCTTAGGAACGCGAGAGAAGAGAGCAGCACAATATCGATAGAGGGGCCACCCTTCCTTTACTATACCATTGGTTTACCTTGCCTTCGAACCTGGCAGAGGCCAACCGCGAGGGGGCAAATCGTGATCAAAGTTCTATCATTCTCGTGAGAGGAGAGCTCTAGATCGAGCAAGGACCAGCAATTGATTCTCTTGATGTCGGGAGATAGAGAAAGAGAGCAAGAGAGAAAGGAGAGAAAATCTCGGTATACATATACATCTACAAGTAGCTCTTCTCTCTTTCCTTTTCCTTAGTGCGGGACCCCATTCATATAAAATTGTTACGTAAACCTTTCTCGCGTTTTTCTATTCACTATACAAACTCTTCACACTGAAAACAAATTGATTCAATTAATTTTAACAATTGTTGTTTTATTTCAGTTTTGTTATTATTAAATTTAAATTTACATTTTTGAGTCGAATTTTGCTTGATTAATCAAATATTGGTTGATTTAACCAAATTGCACACGTCGTGGTTAATTTAACCTGGTTGAATTTCACAAAATGCAAATTGATACAAATAACCAAATATTTGGTTGATTCAGACAAATGTTTGTTTGGCTCAATAAAAAATTTAGATCACTTAACCAAATTGTTTCTTTAATTTAAAGAATTTATTCAATTTTATTTTAATTTAAATCATTTATTTATTTATTTTTTTTTATTTAATTAATTTGATTGTGATAAATATATTGTTATAATTTAGTTGATTTCAAAAGAAATTAAAAATATGTGATTTGGTTGATATTAAAAGAAGAGAATTTTCTCATTTAATTAATTACTGAGTTCCTAAATGGTATTTTATTGGATAAAATTTTTTTGAAATGGCAAGAAACAGAAATAGAAACTATTATTTAATTTATAAAAGGAGCATTTGGTTCAAGAAATTCTACTGGGTTTCATGTCTTACTAAAACTTGCCACTACAACTTGGCATCCTTTTCCACGCATATTACGTATTTTGTATAAATGGTCCCTAATGAATAGAACTTGTTACATTCACACCTTTTGAATAGAACATTTGCTTGAATATATATATATAATATATATTAGGTAACGAGTCCCATGTAACTATTCGCAATAGAATGCAACAAATTAAAATTGTTACACCATTATATTATAAATCACAATATTTTTTTTTAATTCTACAAATGAAAACAAAAATATTTATTTTTGATTAAACCAAAGTAATTAAAAAAAGAATCAAATTTTAGTTTTGAAATGGAATAAATTTAAAAATGTTTTAACAAAATTTAATTAAAATTTCATTTTTATAACAAACATTTTTTCTTTAAATTAACTAAAATTTAATTGAGATACACTGAAAAAAATTCTAGTTAGAATAACCAGAATTCTGGTTATTTTAACGAGAATTCTAGTTATAATTCAACTAGAATTCTGGTTAACATAACTAGAAAGTAATGTTAAATATAGCCTAACCAGAATTTTTTTTTCAGTGTAGAATTAAAAAAAAATAATTAAATTTTAGTTTTAAACTTAAAAATGTTTTAATAAAATTTAACTTTTAATAACAAAAAATTTTTCCTTTAAATTAACTAAAATTTAATTAAGAGAGAATCAAATTTTACTTTTCAATAGAACAAATTTTAGTGAAATGAAATAAATTTTTTTTTTTTTTTTTTGTATATATACAAATAGTGAATAAAGTTTTTGCTCGCTAAAACCGTGTATTCAGGGCCCCTTGATAGAAATAAATGAAAATTTCAGAATGAGAGTTTAACCACAAAGCCTTTAAACACAAAGGGTTCTCTGCTCTTGATTTTACCCATAGTAAAACAAAAAAAAAAAAAAAAAAAAAAGTAAAGTCGTTTAAGGTGGAATATTTTTTCATTTACATGCGTTAAATTGAATGTACCACATCAGCATTTTATTTTATCGACATATCGACCTTGAATAAAAAGAATATAAAATACAATTGATTTTACAGACAGCTTCCGCTTTTGTATGGATGTGACCTGATTTCAACTGCACAACTTGATTCGTTTCCCACTGGAAACGATTCGATGTGGAGAAAGAGAAAGAATGAGTGAGTGAGAGAGAGAGAGAGAGAGAGAGTGAGTTGAGAATCGAGTATTCTTGGATTCTGGCGGGGAAAAAAAGCACGTTTTCAGAAAAGGGGGATATCGTGTATTTTAGATAGATAAAACGATACGTGCTTTAGCGAATTTTTGCCTCGGTTGTTTTGTAGCTGATGATGCTCGTTTCTTTTCTTTTTTTTTTGGGTTTCTTTTGCAAGTAGGTCATATGGCAAATTTTATTTCAATTTTATTATTGTATTATATTTGTAATTTTGTTTGTTTTCGATAATTTCTTTAAAAAAAAGCATTTTCTGCTTTTATTTCTCATCGATTATTAATTATTTTTGTCTATATCTATTTTTACAAGATAATTTACTGTATGTGAAAAAAATTAGGATATGAAACATTATTTATCTGGGTGACAATTATGTAATTCCATTTTCTTTGGTACACTATTTTTTCCTTTTAATTAAAATTTTAAATGAATCGACTATACTTCACTTTTGTAATAATCGAAAAAACTGACATTTATATTAAAGGTTTTAAAATATTTTAAAAGATTTTAAAAAAAAAAAATTGACATATGGTACAAATTTTTATCGACTTTCTGTCTTCTTAATGAAAAATTATTTGAAATTTTAACGATATAATTTTTTTTTTTAATTCTTTTTAATTTAGTTCAATTTAAATTGCACTTTTTAAAAAAATTAATTTATTATAAAAATATATAATACATTGATTATTTAAGAATAGATTAGTAAATCATGTTTTAATTATAGAGAAAAATTTGTTTCATAACAAGAGACTTTTGTTGAAGGAAATTTCTAATAATTTTCAAAACTCAATTGAGAAATTTTAAATTCTAATGTAATCAAATTAAAAAAAAAAGTGAAACAAATATGATTTAAATAATAATGCAAATTATATATATATATATATATGACCAACAAATAATTTTGTCGATTAGTGAAGAGATCGATATTAAGATACACGGTCCAACTAAATTAATCTTGTGATATAATCGTGTCTCAATATATTGATTGTACAATATTTCAATTCTTATGCTAATGAAAAATAGTTCATCTTGTCAAATTATTGATTTCTAGCACATTAACAGTTTCTATAATAATATTGATGCTTATCGCTGATTAAATAATCATTATAATTATTAATACTTTCATCAATAATAATATATAATAATAATAATAATAATAATAATAAATATTGATTAATTTTCTATATTACTTGAAAATACTTCTATCGATACTGTTTAAAAAGTACTTCTATGGACTTAAAATTTTTTTTTTTTTTAGCGAAAGAGTGTTTGAAACGTGTTTAAAAGTGCTTTTAAAGGGTCGACACTCATGAAAAGTCTTAATGCACTGAGAGGGACAATTTCGATGTTAATTACACGTCCTTGTTTAAAAGACACTATATATAGATCTTTATGGGGTGTTTCATTCCCTTCATATAGAGTAGGGATTAATCGTCCTTGGGGACTAAAGTAAAATCCTGTAACCTTTACGATCAAAGCTTATAGCCGCGGGCATAAGATGAGAACCCAGTCGATGAGTTGTGAAGCATTGTTCGAAATGAACAAATACCAATAAAAAAAAAAAAAAAAAAAAATCAACAAATGTTGTAAACTTTTTGTATATATGCAACAATAATGAAATCTCTTCATTTAATTTTATTTTACTATTTTTTTTATTTATTTTCAAATGAATATTATTTTTAGTGAAAGAAAAAAAATTGTACAAATAATTTTAATTTAATTTAAATAAATAAAAAATTATTTTTATTAAACAAAATTGTTTTCCGGGTGAAATTATATTGATCCATGAAGTAAATTGCTGCTGTATTAACAATATAGATTTTTTTTTATATGGTACAGAAGATTTGAATTCTAAAACGCGATGAGCCTCGCGTACTATAAAAATGTTCAATGACTTGGCAAAAGAAAATGATGATAAAAACACGTGGGCACGCGACGTAGGTGTGTATTTTTTTATATGATAGCGATACCACAATGACGCACGCTATTTCAATTGATATTTTTTTTTTTTTTTTTTAATATGCATTATTAATTTTTTAACATTTCGTAATTTCAATAAAAAATTAATGACATAAATAGTTTTCATTTTAATAGGACTTTTGTAACTTTATGCTTTTATAACGTTATTATAATATTTTTGATGAGTATTTTGTAAATGTTGTAAAAGATGCTGTATCCTATTGAATTAATTAAAATTGCGATGAACGGGTCATTTGCGATATAATTAATTCAAGTTAATTGGCTCTATTAATGATAGAATTTCTTTTGTAGTTGTGAAAATTGATTATTATATTAACCTTGAAAAGCAAATTTTACCACTCGCATTAATAGGAAAAAATTTATGTTTTTTCGAAATTAATTTTAATTAAATCAATTTTTAAGTTAATTGATTATATTTATATTATAAATATAATTTCCAAGTAGATTGTTACGTTACATTATTAATGAGAATATATCTTGAGAAACTTTTAGAATGTCAGTTATCGCTTTATTGGAATATAAATTATGCACAGTTGTTAATTGCACTCATCAGTAACACATTTATGTCGTGTCTTTTTTTTTTTTTTTTTTTTTTTTTAAATGATTAAAGAGGAAGTGAAGAAAATGTCAATTTTAAGTAGGAAATACATTCAACAAAATGTCATTTTCTTGACCTCTATTTATTTGTTAGATATTATATAATTATCTATTATTATTATTATTATTTATTCAAATCTAAAAAATTATAATTCACAGCTGAAAATAAAATATAAAATAATTTTTAGAAACCTCTGAGTTATAATAATAAAAAAAATATATAATATCAAATCTAAACGAGACAAAACTTTTTTCACAGTATAAAGCGTCTTATCGTGTATACTACATTATAAAATTTCTGTACTCTCATAATTTATATACTTTGTACTTTGTAAAAATTTCAAAGTATATATAGTTGGTTCGAAGGTGATTCCCAAAGGAGAAGATGGAACTTTTTCACATCTTTCTCTTGTCAAAGCCAATATCTTTCCTATAAAAACTTTTGATCTACGAATGCGAGTATATCTTTTATAGAAATATATATATATATATATATATATATATATATATATATATTAAAAATAGATAATAAATAAAATTAAATTTTTGTTTATTAAAATTGGGAAAAACGATTTTTTTAAAAATTTATTAATAATCAATTATAAGTAATAATTACAAATATAACAATATCTTTAATATTTTATTAACAGATGATGAATAAATAAATAATATTTTCGTCTAGACACTTGTTATATTTTTGGTATTCCATTCATCTTTCAGTGAAATTATTTCCCAAAATGTAAACAAGAAAAGAAAATTAATAATGTATTTAAAAAATATTTGTTTATAACTGAATTTTTTTTTTTATTTGTTGCAGATAACGAACTTTTGCTGTAAATCGCCCTAGGTTCCTCAACGAAATGGTGAGTGAAACAAAATTTGGAATATTATTCAATTTTAATATAATTTAACAATTTTTAATTAAAATTTTTTTTTAATTTAAAAAATATTAACTATTTAATTAAAATTCATGTTAATATTATTAATTATTATCAATAATTATTAATTTAACATTATTTTATTTATATTTTATATATTATTAATTTATTTTATATAAATTTATTTATTAATATAAGTAAATAAATTACAAATATAAAATATAAATATTAAATTAATTTATCAATTTAGGAATAAAATTAAAATTTTTTTTATATATATATTAAATTAAAAACGCTGTTAGAAATTTGACGATCGGTTTATTAGGATGGAAAATGTTTATTCAATCGTTCTTTGGAATATATTTCAGTGTGGTTTTTTTCAATAGTGTATATATATATGTATAGAGATATGGAATCCAACGTTTCGGAAAAGTCAGAACTAGATCTTTTCAGTCTAGGTTTAAGATTGATCATGAATAGGTGGAAGTGAGAAAATCCTTCGAATCTTCACACGCAAGACACATTTTATTTTCATTGCATTGAGATATATATATATGTTGGTTCGAATAGCACATACAATATATATTTCCAAGTCGTTGTGGGAAAGCGAAAGTGACAGTTACCAATTTAAAAAGTAAGTAGCACGGGAACGTTTTGACAGAATATGCAAAGAATATTTGCGTGGTTGGGTGGGCGAATTCTTATATATAAAAAAGCAAATCTTTTATTAGTCATCCCCGACTTTATTCGTCGTATACATAAAGTCATTGTAGGTTTTTGCAAATTTTACTTCACATTCAAATATGAAATAAATATTTTCAAATTAATGTAATTTTAATTCTCCGATAATAATAAATTTAATAATTATTTAAAAAAAAAAAAAGATTCTTTTCTAATATTAATTATTCTGAAAATTGAAACAAAGGAAATGAAATTTTCCTAAATAATTATCTTTTTTTTAATTAATATTTGATTTTACTCTGAATCGTATTTCTATATAGAATATGAAAAAGAATTTTAAATTGAAACGATAATAGCGTAGGATTCTTTCATTTTTTTTTTTTTTTTTTAAATTTCACAAGTATATAAAACCTCGGGTTTGAATAGCGCGTCTCCCATACCTTTATCATCATTAGTTGAAAAAAAAAAATCTCTCTTACAATCATTCCAATAGTTCTTAAACAATTAGTTTTTCGATTTCTTTGACATTCATGCGCCTTTGTCTCGGCCTTTTGTTTTTATCCTTTTTTGCGATCTATGATTCTCTTGTGGCATTATAGGGTGACGTGTATATCCGGGATAACCTGTCGTTTTTAAACGACTGGTTAATTGCAAATGACTAAAATCTTGAGAAAAAAAAACTTTTTTCCTATTCTTACTTGTGCAATTATTGTCTTTAATTTGCATTGTTCAATTTCAGCCAAATTAAACTTATAAATAAACATCGTTCTTTTAGAATTAAGTATATATATATATATATATTATACTTGAGGTGAAAATTTTTGTAGTTGATTAAATATAAAAATTCATTAATTTTTAATTATTTATCAATATTAAATTCAAAAAAATTTTTATTTAAAAGATGAATTTTCGTTGAAATGAGTTTTCATTTTAGGGAATTTCTATTTAAACTGATTTTCAGTTAACTGAACTTTCATTTAACCGAATTTTCATTTATCTGAACTTTCATTTAACCGAATTTTCATTTATCCGAACTTTCATTTAACAGAATTTTAATTTAACCAAACTTTCATTTAACTGAACTGTCATGTAACCGAATTTTTATTTAGCCTAATTTTCATTTTACTGAATTTTTAATTAACCTAATTTTAATTGAATTTTTATTTAGCCGAATTTCTATTTAACTAGTAAAGATTTATACGAATTAATATGTAATTTTTTTTTTAATTAATCGAATTTGTAATTAATCAAAATTATATGGTTAGTAGAATTTTTTCTAGATCGAAAGTTTATTTCGCCGAAATTAAGTAGAATTTTCATTTAGCCTAATTTACATTTGGCATAATATTGCTTTTGAAAAACTTATTCTTTCGACATTTTTTTTTTAAATAATTATTAGTAAATTAATTTACAAACAAATTTTAAACATGATTATAAATTTATTCTATGAAAAAATTTTTCAAAAATTAATTTATCAAAATTTGTTTGCTCACCTCCTCAATTATTATTATTATTATTATTATTATCATCATCATCCTTTATTTGAAACTCCAATTAAACGTAAAAATCTGTTGATTGAACATTCGGTTAAATGAAAGTTTTTATTGTATATGAAATTTGATTCGACAAATATTCTACCACATAAAATAATAATCGAGAGTCTGCAAAAATTGGAATCAATGAATTTGAGAGAAAAAAAATTAGAAGCGGAATAATTAACGTAACCATATAGGATTATTTAATTTACCATTAATGAACAATTCATAATGAATTTACAATTAATTTACAATTTAATAATTATGTAATATTATTTAAATTACAATAATTAGAATTGAAATTTTTTTTTTTTTGATAAAAAATTTACAAAGAAAATTAATTGAAAATATTATTAGTTATTAATTATTAATTATTAATTATGTAGGTATTAATTGAATTAGTTTCTTTGTTTCTGCATTCGTTTGTAAATTATATAGGATTAGTAAAGGCGTAAATGTCAAGTATTGAAAATTCCTTAGTTTTATATATATATATATCTCAGAAGGTGTTAATATGTATAACCGCAAATTGATAGAGGAATTGTAATTGCAGAGTGACTTAAGGTAACGATGCGATGTTGACCTAATGATACGCGGGAATTGGATTCTCGTGGTTTAAGTTGTGTGTTCGTATATAATATACAATATATATATATTTAAATGGTCTGACATTTTGCATTCTTTCAGTACATTTGGCCGTGTTCGACTTTGTACTTCCATAACGTGCCAAGATAATCTGTGGAAAACGAGAGAATCAAATTACATTCAAGTAGCCCCGTATATATATATAATATAGGTATAGATATAGTTACCTGCTATATACATGAGTATAGCAAAGTTCTTAGATTTGAGTTCCGAGTCATTATGGACCAACCACTGCACACCGTCTTTATAGGTTTAACGATCGCTCAAGGCGCATTGTCCTAATAAAGCACTGGTATATAATACCCGCCAATGCTACTATCGTGTGGCAAGGTGAATGGAATCTTCCGATTTTCAATAATTGATTAAGCAAGGGGCCTTTGCCCGATTCGATACGAATTGCTTTGCTTTTGTCTTGAGTTCCGCTTAATTAACAAGTAATGAACCCCCGATCAAACGTTCTTGAGATTGATTTTATAATAAACGCTATATACTCTGAATTTCATTAACTAATCAATATCAACGGAATTGGATTTATTTTCATATAATTTTATTTCATTTATTTTCTACAATAAAAAAAAATTTTAAACAATCAAATTTCAATTTGTATTTGTTACATTTAAGCAAATTATCATTTCTCCAAGAGAAAATTATTACACTGTAAAAAAAAGGAGTTGAATTTGCAACTCCCTAGGAAATTCTATAAAAGTCCCACACCCTTTTGGAGTTGAAGCAAAGGGAGTTAATTTTATGCCTAGGGAGTTGTTTTTAAGGAGTTAATTTAATTATTAACTTCCTTTTTGAGTTGATTTTTAACTCGAAAAATTTAACTTACGTTAACTTCCAAATTTTTTTAGTGTATATTTAATTCAGATATAAATTCCCTATAGAGTGTAAATATGATAAATTATTAATGTGTTTTAATAATTTAAAAAAAAAATTAAGTTGCAATTATTAAAATTTATAAAATAATAAAATTTAAATTTCTTTTTTTTCCCCCTATAACTTTTTTATACTTCAATCAATTCAAATTGAAAGAAATGTATATTATATAAAAGATAAAAAAAAAATCCCTTTTCTATATAAAATATGTATATGATTATAATTTGAAATTCCAGAAAATGGAAGATTTTAAATCAGCTTCCGAGAGAGATGAATGATAAAACAATGGAGGATTTTAATTAAAGTCTGTATAAATAATAGATTTGTTTTAGATAGAGAATGTTTTTTTTTTTTTTTTTTTTTAATTTCAAAGAAAGCATACATGCGGTTTAATAAAAGTTGACTTTTGTTTAAATGTCCCGTTTCAATACAAGAAAAAAGGCAAAAACAAAAATGATTAATTTTTCACGAAAGAATTTTCTTTATGATCTTTTTTTTTTGTCTTGCATTTCTTGCATTATAAAATTGTATATGTATATAACGTAATATATAATCTTTCTTTGAAAGAGACCGCAATCAGTTCATTTCGTTGGAATATAAATCATTGTCGTTTTCTGTGCGCATCATAGTGTTTGTGTGAGTAAGAGAGAGAAAGAGAGAACGACCGCGAGAAGAATCATTAGATGCATCCTTATTGCAAAACAAATAAGGAATGCTACCGCACGAATTAACAGATAATTGCGAATCGTGGTTACGCCTACTCTAACTTTTTTTTTTCCTTTTCTTTTTTTTTTACATTTATGCATATTTCTCTTGACTCACGGGTTATATGTGCGAGAGATAATCATTTTCCGTTTCTCATAGCTCGTTAGTCGGATATGTCTTTGTCATAATCTTCTTCTTCTATTTCTTCTTCTCTATATTGTGAAGAAATTGAAATTATGGTGCAAAATTGAATTCTTCTTTAATATGAAAAATTTCAATTTTGCAAAGAATTTTCCCGTTTATATTATTGTGAATATTTTTGAAGGTTGATTGTAAATTTTTAATTGATAAAAAATTGTTTATTTATTTAGTCTAAATTTTCATATGAAAGAAATTTAGCGAACTTTTCATTAATTGTTTTTTGTTTGTCCGAACTTTTATTTAGCTGAATATTAAATTATCAAAATTTATTTCTTTTGTTCGAACTTTCATTTAGCCAAATTTTTATTGAATAAAATACTTTTTCAGTCCAAACTTTCA